TAGATCACGAGTTGGTAGAGTTCATGCCTGCGGATAAACAGGACTACGAGGAGGTCATTGAGGAGTACAAGGAGGAGATTCTCGTACAGAAGGGAGCCCCGGAGCCGTTCGCTGCTGACTTTGTTGACCCACCGCCTGCCCAAGGCAAACCCCGGTGCATAACCCCTATTTTGAATGATTACTGAATATATATATGATGTCCATTTATGTTACAAGCATTTTATGAAAACTACATGCATAGATATACTTACCTATGAGTCCTAATAGTATAGGTCGAGTAGCTGCTATGCTCATGATTTCGGTAGCGTGAGTAACCTGCCGTTACTCACAGTAGGTGATAATCATGATCACTCATGATAAAATAGTGGAAAGGAAAATGGTGACCGGACAGGGATATGGTTTGGGTACTGGTGGGTGTAAGAGGTTGTGTCCTGCGGTCAACAGGGCATAGCTTGGTTACACTTTTTCTCTATCTGTGTCGGTTAAGGACCGGTCGTTGCATTAGACGTTAGGCAAGTCACATATTTATTATCCCGAGCACATACTTGGGTATAGGCACAGGGAAGACTTGTTTCTCTCTTGTCGTGGGTTTCGGCTCTTTCCGGACCGACTGATTGGAGGTGAGGATGGTGGAGGTCTAAGCACCGCATTAAGTCCGAGACTTAGGAGCAGGGGCTTGGAGTCTAAGTTTGGATGGGGACCTGGACCCTGTGACAGGAGGGTGATGGGTTGGTCCTGCTTGTGCTTGGGGTACAAGCGGGCGTGTGTTTTCGGGGTACCCAACTAGGCACATTGATTCTCGAATTGTCGCCGCCGTGTCGGTCCGACTTGTCTAAACTCTAGCATCGTAGTAAGAACTGAAAGATGAATGGTGAAGAAATAGAACTGATTGCTCAACTATTGCTTGAAAGTAGACCGGTGCTTATATAGAATGGCTAGATAATAAATTAATCATGGCTGCTAATAATGACATAAATAAGGACTCACTATTAGTATTGCTTTCTAAAAAAGAAACCAACAAACCATAAAGCTTTACATATCCCTTGGAGTCGGAAAATTATTCTCACTAGTCGGATAAGTCTTGCGAGTACATTGTGTACTCAGGGTTTATTTACCCCTGTTGCAGGTACTGCTTGAGACGTTGCCATTATGTGAAGGATTCTTCTGGTGGGCACAGACGGATCCTTGTTCATTATCGATAGATGTTTATTATCATTTCCGCTGTTTAATATTCCACACTCTGAATTTGACAATATAATAATGAATTTCTAAGAACTCTGGATGTATGAAATGGATTAAGTATTGTAACTCGTTCTCATTATTAGATCCTTGGAAAAAATATGGATCTTTCGGGCTCTCTCTTGGGGTGTGCCCGACGAAACCGCTCGATGTAGCTTGCTTTCGGGGTGCTTAGTGTCTGATGAAAGACGAGTGCCTCCGTAGATATGTTATTTCGGACGGTTCTGCCACAATCATGTGCAGATCCCTCCCAACCAGCAAGCACATAGGTGAATCTGAGGTCAAAGTCCACGGCTGCCAACACATTTTTTGTGATGGTGTGCTTTCTGTCTCTAAAGGCAGCTTGCATCTTCACAGGCACTCTACCTAAGACATAAGTACCATTAATTGCTCCTATGCAGTCCTAAATCAACAAAACATAAGTGCAAGTGAACATTGACACTAAATTGATAATTAATGAGACCTATGTATGACAAGTTATGGATACCAACCTTGAAATAGGGGTACCACCTTCTGCTCCCAAGGATCCTAGGATGGGCATTGATAGCAGGAGGGACAATCAATTCATTCCTCAGCTCTCCTACTGCATATAACACCTTCTGTAAGAACCTACTAATTGTCTCTGCGGACCTCCTGAAGGTGAGGTCAACCACCCTAAACCTCTCATTGTGACCAACAACATGCAAGAACATGGCTACTTGTTCTTGAACATATGCATGTATGTTGTCACTGACAAGCTCTCTACTACGGAAAAGGTCACAAAGTTAGAAAAAAGGGGCCCTCTTCATTCTAAGAAGGTTGACACAGTGCACATCATCAGATTCATAGATGTATCTAAGGTTGTTCATCCTCTGTTTGTCCCTCTCAGCCATGGGACCATAGGTGATCGGCTTGAATCTTCAACTCTCCTCCTAAACCACATGAAAAACCAAGCGACCCATCGCAACAACCCTGCAAAGAATGGCAGCCTCGCGCGCCTAGCTTCAAAGGCTATGTCTACCAACAGGATGGAGGGCAACATTAGAAAGGAGCATGCAACATGGGTGTGTCTTGCTTAGCAAGCAAAAAATCGAGACAAAATGAACTATGAAAGACACGGCTGCCACACCAAAGGGTGCTCCTCCAGCGTATACTATTACACAATCAATATCACTGACCTCTAGGCATTTTGCTCAGTGTGTACAACAAAATAGGCATCGGCATGTACAAGATCTACACAAAACATGAGGTATACACCAAATACGAAGCATCATGTACAGATCTGAGCTAGGAACAGGTAAATTAGGTATAGCATCGCACAGATCTGAAGATGTCAAACCAAAAACCCTAATTTCTTGGCATTGCAAGCAAAATCCACAAACAAATCAATAAAATCGACACTGAAGAAGGAGGAGGGGAAAAGCGCAGGTGACATATACCGTCAAAGCACCGGAGGACCGAGAGAAATCCGCCGGCGGTGATCGCCTCGGTAGGGCTACCGAGGTCGAGGGGGAGCTAGAGGGGAGTTCGCACCAGAGCTATGGCGGAAAGAGAGGCGAAGAGTGAGGGCGGTAACCCTAGCCGCGACCCGCGCGCGCTTTATCGCTAGGATGGCCTCATCTCCCGCGCTCTCCGAAAAGGTTCCCGCCAAGCACCGAGCGAGCCTGCACCGAGAGGGAAGTGAGGATCGAGAAGACAACGCCGTCCAGGATGGAGGAGAGCATCTGCACGAGAGGAAGCAGGAGAAACGTGAGTAGACAACCAAACACAGGCGAAATGCACCAAAGGGTGCGGGATGGGCCATAGGATGGCCCGGTTCGGACAACCAATCACGCCCTCTGTGAATTGTGCTTTGCTTCCACCATACTAGTGGGGGGCCAGTGGACAGCAAGAAAATCAGTAGTAGTTTTTTTTCTTTTCTTTTGAAGATCAAGAACAGCTGAGTCAGTGCTCAATTATGCATTCAACAGATTGTGATTTTATATGGTAGTGACAACTGACAAGGATTGAATCATTGAAAAGAAAAACAGATAAATTTGTATTAGGCATGATATGTTAGCCGGCCAAATTTCGATTGTGACCAGTGATTTCAAAATCCTCTACGTGGATCACGGGGTTAAACGGTGATATGCTAAAAATTAACATCAACGACAAGAAACAAAAAGTTCTGGTGCCAGCGTTACAATGGTACCAAATTTACTCTGTAAATGAAAGCACTTTTACAATGATTCGACTTGGTGGTGACAGATCTCATGAAAAAATTTAGTTCAGGTTGTGAACACAAAAAAGGAGACAAATTGAGGTTCTGTCCTGATATTTTGTTCCAGTGCTCTATGTGCTAGTGGAAAATTGACCATGCACAAATAAACCGTGACCACTTGCCCCCATCTTATTGGCTTCCTAGTTGCCATCACAGTGTGCATCAAACCAAAAAATAACGTGTACTGACAGATGACTAGAATATAACAGTAGGCCATGCAGTGGTGCAGGTAAGAGTAAGAGGCTAGTCAGTAATCTGGAACGAATTAGTTAGGACATGAAAAGCAAAAGTATATAAAAACACAAACACAGTGATTCGGAGAGGAATCAAACAATGCGAGAACTACTACTATGCTTAACTAAAGGTATAGCTTATACATGAAGTAATCTAAACTTCTGAAAATTGATAGCATCATGCCATGACCTTTTGCTTTAACATATAAGATACTGAATTAGTGAATCAACAGATAGTGCCACTGGTGGATAAATCACCTAACACAATACAAACTACTAGTTCTACTTTTCCGTTCCAAATTACAGGTTGTTTTGCCTTATATCTACGCACCTAGATATAAGCCAAATCGACCCATAATTTGGGATGGAGGGAGTATATGTTAATCACTATGTCTATGTGGTCTAGTCTTGGCACAGAGCTCGTTATGAATATTTGCAACCAATAACTATGATTCAGCTTAAACAGCAAAACTTGCCTGGTTTTAATAAACAGACTTATCCTATAGTACAAAGCATTTGATCCTAAGTGGGGTTAAAGAGCCTGATTGAGGATCGGATCAGTTTGAGATTTCAATTACCATCAGCCACAGGCAGTAGTAACTAGTAAGAACCTTGCATGACTCCCTGATAAAAATAAAAGTAATAGATAGGACACAGAGCCCACTCGATAGAAAACAGAACTGGTGGGAACCAATTATTTTCATGATGCACAGGTAGAGCTCTATGTTCAAGATATACAAATAGAAGTGCAACAAATGCTTAACTGAATTGTCTAAAAGAAGTCATCGATGAACAGAAAATTCTGGTCATGCAATCGGTTTTTTTTTTGTAAAGGCCATCAAATTATATTGAAAATGTTGATTGCAACTCAAAAGCCCTAAGAAATAACAATAAAGGTGACAAGTAAGTGTACTGAACAATTGATGAAATCATCCTAAATCACCAAATATGTGAAAGAATATTTCCCAACTTGAATTCCATTGGCAGCCAAAATATTTCGTGTTCTTAAGCAAGACATGAAAATAAATTCTCGACATGTATAATGACATATGAAAACCTCATATAGTAAATAAACAGAAGCCCCAGACCAAAATTAAATATTCTTCTTTGTCAGTCTAGCATTTAAATATAAATGCAAAATTATTGTAGTAAATAACAACAAACAAACACAGGTACAGCCATACAGAGATGATGTTTCTTGCAAGCTCACCAGAGATGAAAAGCTCAAAAAGAAAGGCGCTACCCAAAAATTAATTAGCAGGCGTATGGATTCAAGTGTCCTAGAGAAACTATGCTTCTTGGCTCGCCTTTGACTGCATTTCCTCTCCTTCCAACTCCTTGACTGCAGCTATGAGGCTGCGACTTATACCCCTTAGGCATAAACCACTATCCTCCATTTCCTCCAGGAGTTTCTCAGCTCTTCTCCAGTCCATAGCCTTGAGACACAATGACTGAATCAGTTTGTCATACTCATCCACATTTGGCAGCAACCCATCTTTCCTCATCTCCTTTAGGCACTCAATGGCCTTCTCAAAGTCCTCCATCTTGCAGTATCCACGGATAAGTATATGATAAGCAACCCTGTTTAGCTTCGGATGAACTTTCTTAGCTTCACGAAGTAGATCATGGGCTTCACTGATCATGCCTCCTTTTATGTAGCCACTCATGAGCACACTGTAAGTATAGATATCAGGACTGATCCCTTGGCTCTCCATCACTCTCATCAAATCTTTTGCATTCTCCATTTCTCCCTGTTTTGACAATGCTGTGATGACAAAATTAAACACTGCATTACCTGGAGCTGGGCCAACATTTACCATCCTCATCAACAATGTTTTTGCATCCTCCAGTTTCTTTTTCCTACACAAACCATGTATAACTGTGGCAAATGTGTTGCCTGCATTCTTAAGAGATTCCCCTTGGTACTCTTCAAGCTGCACCATCCTAGTCAACAAATTATTTGCATCCTCCATTTTGTTTACCCTACACAAAGCATGTACAACTGTGGCAAAGGACTTGCCTGCATGCTTAAGCGACTCCCCTTGGTACTCTTCCAGCAGCTCCAGAGCAGTACCAATTGTCTCATCATTCCTTGCCAAAGCACCAACAAGGAAATCCAAGGCTGATTTTGGGATCTGAATCTTTTTTCCTTCGCTGCAAGGTATAATGAGTGTGCCGTCTTTACCTTCTTCCCCTCACAAAGGTAAGTTAAAATCCTGCCAGTCTTCTCACGATTAGGGAAGCAGGCAGAGCCAATCATCTTCTCACAGACTTCACAAACAGAGCGGAACATGGACTTCTTTCGTGCTGCTTCAATCACAAGATAATAGCTGTCACTGTCCGGAGTACAACCAAACTCATCGAACTTGGAAAACACCTCCAGTGCTGCCTTCGACTTCTCAAGCTTCCAAAATATGGCGATCATTTCATTCAACAACGGTGTACTCACTGATCCTGGCACAGGCCAATTTCCTTAATCGAATCCCAAAGCAAATAAGCGTCTGTTTTGTCTATCTCATCAGAATCAGCTACCTTGCTCACGAGAATCTCAAGATTCGAGAGGTTCTTGGCAGCGGGGTTATTCTTCGCGGCATAGTTGAACAGGGAAATCAGCTTCTTACAGGAGCATTGCTCGGCAGCAAGGAGGACTGCGGCGAGGAGCGGCTCGTTGAAATCCACGATCATGTCGGCGAGGGTGGACGCGATCTTGTCCTCGGGAGTGGACTCGACGGCGGCGCACACGCGGGCGACCTCCTCATCGTCGGCTACGGCGTCGGCGCCGCCGGGGGAGGCGAAGATATCGTCGGCGTCCCCAGCTTCCTCCCACATCGAGCTCAGGTTGTCCTCCCCGGCCTCAGTGGCATCTTGGGAAACCTCGGTCGGGGATGAGAATGCTTCAGGGAAGGGATCCGCGGCGGCGGAGGAACAGGCATAGGGGATGGGATCCGGGGAGGAGGAGAGGAAGCGGGAGAGAGGGCGGGGAGGTGAGAATCGGGTTAGGGTTGGAGTAGGATGTGGTGGTGGAGGTGGCGGCGGTGACCGGGGAATGGTCGAACGGAGTAGGAGCAGCACACGAGCTCGCGAACGCCATATCATCGCCGTCATCCTCGGCGGCGGCGGCGGCGGCGGCGAGGTGTGTTCTAATTGTTGTTTTGCGTGCCTCGTGGACTCGTGGTGGAGGCGGAGCAGTCGTGGAGGAGGGAGGTTTCTTTCATTCTAGGGTTTAAGGCCTTCTGGGCTGGGCCTAACTATTTTTATTTTGTTGGGCCACTATAACCTTTTATTAGGCCGAAAGATTGAAGGAAATCGGAATAGGACAGGTTTTTTCAATTCGGACTTTCAGGAAGTATAACAATCTAATGACTCATCTACTTCATTCCAGATATTGTCAGTGTAAATTAACAAGCTTACATCATGGTACAGTTTCTGTGGATATTTCCCTTCGTTTCCGGACTTACGCACTCTTGACTCTTGAGATCAGGAGTTCAACAATTCAGAGGGCCTTATTCACTTACAGAAAGCAGGTGTGACAAGCAGGGTTCCAGTTACAAATTGTAATAGAAATACAAAGGTGATTCAGAACGAGGTTGGCACGTTCCCAGATTCTAGTGCCTACTCCACTCGGAAGGCTATCAAGCAAAAAAAGATAATCCTAAAACAGCATCTAGTAAATTTGCAGCATGCAAATTCACATCAGGAGTTCATGCAGTGACCTCAGCTGTGGCATTCTTAGCATCTTCTTCCTCCTTGGCTCTGTTTGCCTGCTCTTTTTTCTGGGCCCTTAACATTGCACGCCTTGAACGGGGACGCATCTCGCGTACTTGCCGTGGCGGCATCACAAAAGGTTCAAGAGGGCGATCATGGAATGGATGCTCATTTCTAGAAAATATCCTCAGCTTGCGATCCCTATCCTGGAGGGCAAAGAAAAAGGCACATTTAACGTGACAAGAAAAAGGCATGATTCCTCGACCAATACAATGTTTTGAAACCTCGGTCAATACAATTGTAATGAAATATACAGGCCACCAGTACACAAACACAATATTGCAAATTAATATAACATCTCAATCACGTGTAGCAGTACCAAGGAAAATATGATCAGATAATGAAATACTACAAAAGTTGTCCATCGATATATACAATTCTAGCTTAAAATCTCCAAATATTTTGTTAACCAGTGTTCACAACATGGCATTAACAAATTTTGACAGATCATTAAGCAGATTGGCTAAGCCTAGCAATGCAAAGGAGAAAGGTAAATAATCCATTAGCGACAGAGTACAGGCAAATTAAACCTCTCTACCAGCAATTGATTCATGAAATAAACCATTAGCGACAGAGTAGGTTGGAATTTCATGGCTCAGTGAGCAATAATAAAATTTGCACTGTTAAGTTCAATGTCCGTTTCCTGAAGAAATTAACACCAGGACACACGCACAAATTGGTACTTTTGTAATAAAAGAAAACAAAAGCTCCCCACCCCCCACAACCCAAAATGTTTCCTCTCTAAGATTGGGAATCCACATTTTTTGCAGCTTAGACTCCCTTGGTACTCCAAGGCTGGATTAAACCAGTTCCAATATATGTCCCAGATTTAAGCTAACCAAAGTTTCAGACAGGGAAAGAAAGTGCAGATCACAACTAAACTAATCCATATTTTGGTGATTAGTAGAATTGTGATATGCATAGGTCAAATTTAGTATTGGGATGCATATAAAGCTAATTTCATTTTGCTGATATGGTCATCTAATGTTCCTGAACCAGCTTTGAACTGTTCTTTCCTCCTTATAAGCTGCTTGCCTTCAACTGACATGTAAGCTGCTTGGCTTCAACTGACATGTGCCCTTTGTAGATATCTTTTGATAGCTTATAAGCAGCTTGGCTTCAACTTACATGTGCCCTTTGCAGATCTATGATATCTTCCAGCTTCTTCCATCGAAGATTCAGGTCGGTGTGTTCTCAGCTACCGCCTCCCTGAGGCCCTTGAGATCACCCACAAGTCCATGAACAAGCCTGTTAGGATTCTCGTCAAGAGAGATGAGCTCACCCTTGAGGGTATCAAGCAGTTCTATGTCAAAGTGGAGAAGGAAGATTGGAAGCTCGACACTCTATGTGACCTGTATGAGATTCTGGCAATTGTTGATAGTTCAGGAATAAGGAGGCTTGATGATGATAGTTCAGACATTAGGAGGCTTGATGATTACTGTGCTGCCTGAACTCCACAATCTCTTGAAAGAAGATGTATGCTATTACCAGACCTTTAAGCAATGGTGATGAACTGGATATTTCGTTGTAGTTCTATAAAATTGTTGTATAAAAAAACATTATGGTCCTTCAATGCCAGGAAGACGACTGATATTTACTGTTTGATATATTCAGTTCGAAATTATAGAGGTCCTATAAAAGATAAAATTGAATAGTGCTACTGGATTATCGTAACCCGTTTACTTAATGATAGAGGTGTCTTGGTTAATGAACTGGAAAATGGATATTTTTCTCTTGATGGTATCAAACGCTATGACTTTATGCATAGAAATTGTACTGAAATAGCATTTCAAACATTGAGGGTCAAACCAGGAAGGAGGAACTACTATGGTGTGGCAGTAAAGAATACTGTCTCTTTGCCAACGTAGCCTAAAATTTTACTCAGAAAGTGTTCCAAATGTTCATCCTTACGATATTGATTTTTACAGAGACTAGCTGGAGCTTCATTGGTTTTTGCAAATAAGCAGACATACAGGGGCTCCAAAACCAGCTGAAATTGTGAACGTAAGCAAACTTCAGCCATACATCGATACATATGTATTAGACTTATGTTTATTTAAATTATCATGATATTATTTTGTTCCCGTTGCAACGCAGGGCATGATCCTAGTAATACATATCAGAAACAGGAAAGATACAGTATTCGTTACAATGTTAGAAACAGCAAATAAAGCTAGCATTAAAATCCAGTTATTCAACCTAAAAAAAAAAAGAGCTCATGTCTAAGTCTCAAATGCAGAATGAAAGAGAAATGAAGTTTCACTTACATCACGCAGTCTGTTGCGGGGAAGCATGCGCAGCACAGCTTTGCGAATCACTTCAGTTGGGTCTTTCTCCATCTGGTCCTTGAGCCTCCTTTCCTTCAAATGGCCAACATACCTATTTGGCGATAAACACATAACAAGAGAAAGTTAACAAAAATCTCAAAAATAATGCAATCAACAACTTTTTTGCTGGGATTTACTAACCCTGTATGCCAGTAGTAAATCTTATCTGTCATTTTCCTTCCTGTAACACTGATATCCTTTGCATTAAGTACAATGCACATGTCTCCATTTTCCACATGTGGTGCATAGGTCGGTTTATCCTTGCCTTGAAGCACAACAGCTATTTGGGAAGCCAATCGTCCAAGCACCTATATCACATAGAAAATTTTACCTCACAGCCTCTATCCTTTTTACGATAAGTTCATCCTTGCATCAAACTAGAAAAACAATCCTAACCTGACCCTTAGCATCAAATACACGCCATCGCAGCCCATCTAAATTGATTCTTCTCAGACCTGCAAGTGCTTTCTGCACATATCAAAAAGGAAACCATCAGTGCTAGTACTTGACATCAACATGGTGCAGAACTGCAGATTCAGAAATAACATTTCGGGTACTCGAGATTCTACTTGCAGAATTATTTTCCTTTTCAGGTGAAAAAAATAAAGAAACACATATGCTTCTTTGCTCATGCAACATGGCCACACATAACACACCATTGTTTTTTATCACTTCATTGACAAAATAAACAGAAAAGGTACTCAATTTCTGCATATACTGTCAGCACATTACTAAATATGTTGAAATAATTCAGTGACAGGTTCAGGAAGCTTACAAAATCACATAATGACTAGCAAAGGCAGCTGAATATGCATAAATCTACTATGTCCCATTTCATCTCTCAGGAAAGATAAAATGACAATAGTTTATTCAAAAAGACATAGAACACCATAAGCAAGGGAGATAAAATGGTAGATAATCAGGATCAAAGGTTCAAGCTACAATCAATTCAATCAACTAAAAGGATGCCCAATAAAATCGTAACATTCGCAGTCACGTTAACCCAAGATCCATGTACAGGAGTGTTTGAGCTATTGACTGCAGAGAACTGAATCTACTACTAAGCGCAAAATGGAGGGCTGAATGCCACAGACGCCGGGCCCCCGAATCAACACAGCTCGGCGACAAATCGTCCATGCCTCCCCGGAGGAGATTGAAGATGGGCGGGGCGGATGGGGGGCGGAGGAACGAAGAGTTCCTCGAATGGCGGAAGCAACGGGGTGGAGACGCAACGCGGCCGCCCAGGGACCTGCGTCGGCGCTTGGGATGGGGGTGGTGGCCATGTCGCGCCCGCAGCGCATGGTCCGAACCGGCCGATGGCGGACGGGGATCTTTCAAGAACTCACCTTCAGGTTGCCCGTGAAGGCCGGTGGCGTCGCAGCCATGTCAAGTTGGAACGATGGCCGGCGCCGGCGCCGGCGGTTAGATAGATGCGGGCGAGCCGAGGGTCCAGCGAAGGGCGGCGCCGGACACGTGCTTCCCCGCAAGCCCTTCTCTCCTTTGTCTCTAGGGTTTAACCGTTCATGGGCCTGATGAATGGGCCTCACTTTGTTGCCTCGGCCGCAAAGTTGCGCGCGTCAGCGTCAGCTTGCGACCGCGCTCGCGTCCGCTTCCACCGTCAAGCGCTGCTCTCTCTCAACTCAACAACTCCAACAGTATAGATAAATTTGGATCTCTATAAACCAGCTCCCCAAAATAATATAGACAATCAAAATCGACATCATCCATAGCAGACTCGTTAAATCAGACTCGGACGCCACATCAGAGCTATCTAACCAACTATGTTGGCGCACAGCCACAGGGGACAGGCCAGCTCCCGCGCTTGGTTCACCCGTGGAGCCAGACGTGCGCGCAAGTTGGACCAGGACGCCCAGGATGGCGAGCGAATCCAGGAAATTTACACTTTTACCACAGTAACGAAAGTGACTCCTTCCATTCTCATCCTTAGCTTACGATTACCCTTACATATTTATCAGAGGAGATCGGCGAAATCTTTTGCGTACGTGGCGTGCCAGGTCACGGTGCTAGCGTGACGGCGCATTGCGAAAAGATGAAGCTGCCCTGTCCTACACCTCTCTCCCCCTCTCCTACAGCTAGGTCCTGCAGGTCCTCTCACCACCATGTGAGTCCCACTTGTCAGCTTCATCTTCCACCTCCCGGATGTGCAACGCCCTCGGCGGCCAGGCGCAGGAGGATCGAATCGGATCGGAGTACAAATTAAAAATGGCTTAGGTTTTTCAGTTTCTCGTCATGCACTTGTGTGCCTGCCTGCCCTCCGTGGCTGCCGAATCGAGCGAGCGGTTTTGGTGGTAATATTTCCACTACTGCTAGTACTTGTTTGGGCATACTACTAGAGATCAGATCAATGAAGAAAACGACTCCAACTGTTTTGATGATTGATTGAGGCGGACTTGCAAGCGATCGACCTTGCGTATGTTGTACTGTATATACGAGAAGGCTCAACTCAATGGTACCCAAACAAACAAGCTCGAAAGCACTACTAAGCATGTCTCTGCCTTTCCACGACAGTGCAAGTGTGCAACTTTGGATGGGTCGGGTCGGTACAGGTGGTGCTCGATGCCAGGACAAAATTAAAACCTTTCGGCGCCGGATCGGATGGACACTCAAACTTTGCGAGGTGCGTGACAAATCCATGACTGTGGCGATCCCTTATCCCTCCAAGATTATCGCTCACATCCGAAACCGATCTACTAATAGAGAACAAAACTGCCGAGGCGAGGCGTACTAGGGGAGAGAGAGAGAGAGAGACAACACAAGTTTGCTGCAGCAAGCATCGCACATATGCCGAGGGACCGGGGCAGCGGACGTGATGCAAGCAAAGCCATGCTGGACGGCAGGATCCAAATCTAACGGTAGATGTGCTTTCTTCTTCCTCCTGCTGCTCGCGTCCAGATCCGGCTCGCGCTGGAACCAAAGTCGACGCCCTTGCTGCGCTACCTGGCCTGTCCATACCCGGCGGCCGCGGGATCCTCCGCCTCGCCTTCGGCGTCGTAGCGGTCTCAGTTCGAGGGGAGGTTGTGGCTACGGGGGCCGGACGAGGTGGTGGTGGCGGCGGCACGCTTCTGCCTGTGCGCTGCCGCGGCGGCGGGGGTCTGGTGGACGCGGTGGCCGTGCACCGTGTGCGAGCACTTTTTAAAGCTGGGTCGTTTACAGATTTGACATTGGATATATTATGGTGACACTGGATCTATGGACACAGATATACTCACTCGTTGTATATCGAGTGTCATCGCTATCGAGAAATCAATCTTTCGAGCGTTACTTTTATAATTTTTTAATCAAGAGGACCGGAAGAGAGAGCGCGACGATGCAAGTGTGGGATGAAGACACGAGACGGAAGGGAGGCTTCGGCGGTGTGTTGTTGCTTCTATTATTGCATTTTTGCACTGTAAGCTTTTTCTTATGGCGTGGGCGCATCGACTGATAGGTAAATAAAATATCAGTCACATGTGATTAAGTAAATCTGAAAAAAAACACTTTTTGAGGCCTCGGCTTAACACGCCGTAATCATTGCCGCTTTTGGTGTTTGACCATGGCGATTGGCAGTCATTACTCCGATCCGTTGCCGAGACAAGGCCAGACCGTCCCGGGCGCGGCAAAGGCATCGCCACGCGGGCGCTCACGTACGACATGAACCATTGCCTGTTGCCGCTCGGCAGCGCCATTAGATTCGACCGGCGGTGGGATCCATTCGACCGGCGGCGGGGAGATGGACGCGCGGACGCCGTGCGCTGCTTCGCCGCCTGCTCCCGGATGTTCAACTCCCGGTTCTAAATATTGGAACCAATTTAACAGCAGACGTCACGTGACTTCATAGAAATGGGAACGATGCTATACAGTAAAGGATCCGGCATCACGTTCGCTTGACTTATAAGGCCCGTTCGGCTTACCCTATATCCGACTTGTTCGGCTTCTTTTTTTAGCCGGAACAGTGTTTTCTCTCAAAAAAATCAACCAGAACAGTGTTTTCAGCCAGTTTCAGCCAAAATTCAGCAAGCCAAACGGGGCCTAAGCTGTACTTTTTCGGCCAACGAATAGTATTTTTCTCTCACAACAAATCAGCCAACAGTACTTTCAGCCATAGCTTATCGGCCAAGCGAACGTAGCACGGACAGATGGTGAACAGAGAAAAATCGGCCTTATTTTTCAGCTCCAATTGTCAGCAGGAAGACAAGGTGGAGGTGAGAACAGTTATGCAAATTGACACGGAAGCACCAACGGAGAAGTACCTGGGACTGCCCACAGCACTTGGGCGCTCAACCTTGAATATATGCCGGCTCGCTTGAAGAAACTAGTGGGGCCTTGGAGTAAGAAAGGAGGCGAGCTACGCTGGGAGAGAGGTGCTACTTAAATCAGTGGCACAAGCAGTCCCAACCTATCCGATGAGTTATTTCTTGATTCCTAAAGATACATGCAGGAAAATGAAAACCGTAATCTCGAATTACTGGTGGGGAAGGCAATGTTAGGGAAACAAGGGTGGCGGCTGATCAACAACCCGGACTCCCTGTGTGCAAGGGTGTTGAAAGGCCGCTATTATCATGACTCGGACTTTCTGGCAGCCAGAGCGTGTTGGGCTGGACTTAACTTTTCACTGTTCATGCTGAAAACACTGTTCATGCTGAAATTTTAGGAGCGAAAAACACTGCTTCCGCTGAAAACTGTAGCGAACCAGCCAGCCATTTATGGCCAGCCGAACACGCTCATACAAGGAGAAAGCATGGTAGCCAACACATGGAGGGCGATCCTAGCAGGGCGTGATGTGCTGCAGAAAGGGCTTGTGAGGAGAATTGGTGATGGACAGATGACAAACATTTGGCACGATCGGTGGATTCCAAACCACTTTGATGGTACACCGCTGGTTGTGCCGGATGATCCACAGTTGATGACGGTGTCCGAGCTTATTACACCGAGTGGTGCATGGAATGAAGAGGTGATCAAGCACACCTTTGCTGGTATTGATGCACATGCTATTCTGAGTATGCCGATCCGGGGAACTGGTCAAGACACTTGGGGGTGGGAGCCAGAGAGACATGGCTGCTACTCTATCCGATCGGCGTACTTCGGGTTCGGGTGACATTTTTGGAAGCGCATTTGGCGTCTTTGTGTCCCCCCGAAGGTCCGAGTGTTCTGGTGGCGGGTGATCAATGGTTTCCTACCGGCAAAAGGAGTCCTTCACAGAAGACACATTGACCCTGTGCCAAATTGCGATATCTGTGGAGCTGAGGATGAATCTATCAAACATGTCCTTATGGACTGCACGGTGGCCAGGTGTTTCTAGGAGCAAACTCGGACATTGACAGGTGCAAAACTACCACGTCTACACCCCCAAACATGGGCGCATGATTTGATTGACCCAAACTGCTGTTCGGAGAAGACCGCTGCGATCTTTCTCTGCGGTATGCGGTCAGGATGAAAACGGACGGAAAATAGCTTTATCGTTTTCATTTTTATATTTTTTTATGGAAACGGGAGTGGGAGCCGGACAACCGAGAGCGGAAACGGTAGCAGGATAAACGATAATGCGAAAATGGATAAATACGATAAAAAATATACGGAAATGAACAGTACGCTAAAACTTAAGCCGGAACTACATGCCACGTGTGACAAACCAAAGGGCTTGCTACGGTACTCCCAAATAAATGTGAACCGTCGATTTAGATGATTTTTATCGCATATTACGTTCTAGGAGGTAATAGAACGAAGAAATATATATATTAGCAAAATAGGTAAAATATCTTCCAATTAGATCTAATTTCCATATCCTATTAGATCTAACTTGCATGCATGATGTAAATTGTTCCTATGTTTGTGATAAAGTGACATATCATGCTAAGATGACTTTTAAACATTTTTTGTAACATTTTTTTTTCAGATACGTTTGTGTGTACGTCACTTGCTAAAATACACGTGTATATCCATGCTTAATCTTTTTGTGCTTAACCCTTTTATGGTAGGCAGCTTTCACGCATAGCACATAGAAAAAAGAGACATTTGACACATGTTTTTTGCGTAACATATACATATATACATACATGTACGAGACTCTTTTTTTTTGACGAGTAACGTTATGTTCTGCATGCAGCCGAACAGCGCAGAAGCAAGTCTGGCTGACCGCCCGCTCACGGCACAACTCGGCTCAACGCCCTCTGCGCTTGTCCCGGTGAACATATAAACAGGATGAAAACGGAAATATTCCGGTCAAAAACGGGATACTGGCAATATGGACGGAAAAACGCTCAACCATTTTCGGTCCCGGTCCTGGTATATCCCGTCCTGTTTTCGGTCCCGTTTTCGTTTATCCCACAAAAAATGAGAACGGATGGGAAAATAAGGTATACGGTTGCGGACGGAACGGGATTCATCCCGTCCGTTTTCATCTTTAATCCTTGTGGATGGCTCGGAACAAAAGGAGACATGGAGAGCCGGGAATTCCATTGAGAAGGGCGGTGGAATGGGCCAAGGACACAACATATGACCCGTGGCAACTTTCACACCCGATCAAAGGATGCTCGTGAATCTGTGGAAGCATCCCTCACGCCATAACGCTGAGGTTGGGCCGCTGCTACAGCAAATCGATGATCCAAGCCAGTGCTTTGTTGATTTTTCGCTTGTGTTTTCTAGTAGAACTTGTAATAAGCTAGCTCATGAATGTGCCAAATTAGTATCCCGTGATAGATCGGTGGAGGAGTGGCTTGTACCACCACCGGCTTTACGGGGTATTGCTGACAGTGATTGTAACCATGTTCATAATGAATGAATGAAGCTCCGGCTGTTGCTAAAAAAAATGCTTCCACATAAGAAACCAATAAACTGTCACTCATCTCGGCGTTGCCATCAGATGGAGGCCGTGTTCAATGAGGAGCGTGATGGTGGCCCTGTAGTTGACGCTGGCCTCCTCGTCCCGCAGGCTGAACACGAAGAAGCGGAGCAGCACGGCCGCCAGCACCTTCATCTGCCTGTACGCGAATTCCTTCCCCAGGCATATCCTCGGACCGGCCTGTTAATAATTTGACGAGGGGCAACGCTCAGAGTATGTCGTCACGTCACTGTTTAAATAGACTGCAGCACGTGTGGTCATGGGCCTACCTGAAAAGCTGTGAACTTGAAGGGGCTTTCCTGCTGAAACTCGCCGTTCTCGTCGAGCCAGCGCTCGGGCCGGAAGACCTCGGCGTCGTTGCCCCACAGGTACTCCATTCGCCCCATGGCGTACGGGACGTAGAACACGACGTCTCCCTTGCCGACGCTGAAGCCGCCCGGCAGCACATCGTCCGAGAAGCACTCCTTGTTGTTCTGAAACATGAAATGAATTGAATTGCTGATCACACACAACTAAACAACGTTAATCTGCTCCATCCATCCGATCCTTATTCCTCACCAAGGGAAGCGCAGGGTAGAGCCTGAGAGTTTCCGTCAGGGCAGCGTGCAGGTAGTGCATCTTGCCGAGCGCCTCGTCGGTGAGGCTCCGAGAGAACTCGTCCACGGACGACGCGGTCTCGCCGGCGGCGCCCGCGGTGGCCTCCCCGGCCTCGCGGAAGACCCTCTCCTGGACCCGCGGGTGCTTGCACGCCATGTAAAAGAACCAGGCGAGTGCCTCCACGCTGGTGTCCTTGCCGGCGATCACGATGCTCAGCACGATGTCTCTCAGGTACTTGTGATCCACCGCCGCCGCCGCAGTCCCTGCACCTGCAGCGGCAGCGCCATCACAGGCGGCGGTGGTGGTGGTGGCTGCCTCGATGAACCTGGACAGCATGTCTCGCCTCGCCACGGGGAGGTCCCCCTGCCGCGCCGCCGCCGCCGCCCCGAGCTCCTCGAACCTGGCTCGGATGTGCTCGTAGACGAACTCGTCGACGGTCTTCACCCGCTCCCTGAGCGCGGCCTCGGGGCCGACGTTGAGCAGCCTCATCGCCTTCCAGAACGGGTTGATGTAGCGGAGAAGGGTGAACTCGCTCGCGTCGTCCACCGCCGCGGCGAAGCGGCTCCCCTCGTCGCCGCCGCCGCCGCCTGAACCCGCTGCGCCCAGCGTGTCGAGGTCCGATCCGAAGGTGACGGCGAAGATGGTGTCCATCGCCGCTTTCTGCAGTAGGCCCTGAACAAACAAACGAGCCAGCCAATTCAAGGACAAGATATTAGTTGTTCAGTGATGGATCGTGTCCGAGGGTTGACGTTGACTTCAGGCGGCGCTTGCCTGGAATTCCATGGGCTGCTTCGACGCAGCGTTGGCGGCGACGACGGCCGCGAGCTTGGCGGCGTTCTCCCTGAAGACGGCGCCGCTGAAGTCACGCATGGCGCTCGTGGCGAACTCGTGGCTGGCGATCTTCCTCTGCTGCCTCCACCTGTCGCCGTCGACGGCGAAGATGCCATCGCCCAGCAGGTCCCCGGTGTTGTCGTAGTTGAACGCGCCCTTGCCGTAGTTGCCGAAGTTGGCCCGGAGGATGTGCTCCACCACCGCCGGATCGCACGTGTATATGAGCCGCCGGCCGGGGGCGAGCAGGCGGAAGGTCTTGCGGCCTCGGGACAGGTCCGTGAGGTAGTCGTGCAGGCGGCGGAAGTGGTAGAGCTTGTGGAACACCGTGCCTACCACTGGCGGGTACGACCGTCTCCCGCTGCGGCTGCGGCGCACGCCGGCCAGGTACAAGCAGATCGCCAGCAGAGCGAGCCCGGCGACCGCGGCCCAGGTCGGAGGAGTGTTGTAATCCATGGAGCTAGCTCTGATAGGTTGGCCTGCGGCGGCCTAGCTTTGGCCTTTGGGGTATCCGCCACTACAGCTGCAGGGGTCTGTGTCACGTTCAGGACAGTGGCAGACTGGCAGTTGGGGGTCAGGCAATGTGAAAGGAGACGACCGCGCGTCGAAGAACGAAGGGAAACTGTCGGTATCGATTTACTGCGGTCTGGTTTGGTGTGAGAGAAAAATACTGTTTTTATTTAGAAATTTATGATTGTTTACAAGCAAGCGAATAGGCTGAGTTTCAGCCGGGGCTTATAAGTCAGTCAATAATATTTTCCTCTCATAATAAATCAGTATTAATTGGATTTATCAACCTAAAAACCAACCAGCGAACAGACCGAAATACCCTCTCTCTCTCTCACACATCTTACCGACCAGCAATCACTGAAGCGGAACAACCCTCGACTAGTAACCCACCATGCATGAGCGACTGAGGCACAGGGAAAGCAGATGTTGAGGATGACTTTGACGCCACAGCAGTCATGGGTTGAAACTTCGACCAATGTGTGTTGAAATGAATTATTCCCTTGCAATACACATTGATTCGAATGAAAAATGAACTGTCCGGAAACAAACTCTTATTGGGCTGTATCTTTCTTTCGGCGTGGCTAGCGCCTACAGCCAGCCTCCTTCCGCCTTCGCCCCGCCCTTGCACTCCGCCTCTGTCTCTATGCCAGCTGATCCTTCCCTTGACCCCTCCTCTCTCTCTCCGCGTGGACGGCACTCGGGCGTCGGGATGAGTAGCCGAGTATGAGCGCGCCACGACCGCAGCACCCCTGTCCGCCGGCCCCTAGTGTCCCCGACGCGCCGCACGCCCTGTACGCCGGCCCTCGGCTCGACCTCGATCGAGCAACATAAAACACTTGCAACATGAAAAAAATTGAATGCAACGTACGTATGAAAATAGATGAAACATTTGAAACATGCACTTGCAACATGTGTGTGAAGCACATGAAACATCAAATAAAACACTTGTAGCTTGCAACATGAAACCACTTGCTGCAACATAAGACTGAAACAACTGAAACATTTGGAACGTACTATTGCAACGTATGTGTAAAACATATGCGACATCCAGATAAAAAACGATTGCAACATACGTCTAGAAACATATGAAACATTTTGAACAACATGCCTCTGAAATACTTGCAAACATACTTCCTCCGTCCCAAAATAGATGTCATTCTCACTTCCCGAGAAATCAAACACTTTTAACTTTGACCAAATATATATAAGAAAATATTAATATTTATGGTGCATAATTAATGTCATTAGATAAATTATTGAACATAGTTTCATAATATACTTATTTAGAGATATAAAAATTGCTAATATTTTTTATAAACTTAGTCAAAGTTGAGAAAGTTTGACCAACGCGCATCCCATAATGATTTCTATTTTGGGACGGAGGGAGTATGCAACATATGCAACATCCCCCGATTTATTCTTGCAACATCAAGATGAAACAATTGCAACATACATTTGAAACGTCTGAAAAACATGCATATGCAACATAGGGGCGGGGAAGGCCGGGCCGGCTGATTCCGAGCGTCGGGGTGGGAGCCGCTAGCAAGCCGCGGCGTGCGAGCACCACCAGCACCGGCCGCACTCGTGGGTGCCCTTGGCTCGGTCGGGAAAGACCTAAGGCGCCACGGCATGTCGCCCAATGACCATGGCGGGTCGGTGACATCACGATGGCGATGGGGGGGGACAGACGAAGCGACGAGAGAACAAGCGCACAGTGGTGGGGACGGGCGTGGCACTGGCCGACGATGGGGCGTTGAAGCGTGGGGGAAGGGCATAGCGCGGCAGCTGACGAGCACACGGTGGGGGAAGGCGTGGCAGGGCAGTGTGGGGCGGGCAGATGTGCGTCCACGCACTCACGTCGAGACGAGCAAATGAGCGGATAAACGCGGTGGAATTATTTTTTTAGAGAGCAGATGAGTGGATGAGAATGAGCCACATCCAAACGACAACGACGCCCATGGCCAAACATTATCGACCTTTCTTTATTGGCCTCTTAATTCCATTTGATTGAATTTTACTTCTTTAGTTACACACCGGGGTCCTCTAATCTAAAAAGAAAAAGCTACACACTGGACCGCAAGGGCAAACACCAACTTGGGCCGTACGGCAGTCTTTGTTTTTTCCTGCACGTGTCTTTTATTTAATTATTTTATGATTTTCTAAAACTATTTTTAATAGTATTCCATCGTTCCAAATTATAAGTCGTCGCTTTGACTTTTTTACATCAATTTTTTATGTATCTAGATATAATATAACGTATGTCTAGATATATAGCAAAACTCAAAGCGACTTATAATTTGGAACGGATGAAGTATTTATTAAAAGATAATTCTAGGTATGGAATAAGCCAAACTTTATTAAGTTTGAAAAAGCTTTTAGAAATTCCTAGTATCAAGATTTATACCTCAGTGATTTTTTTATAAATATATTTATTGATTAATCTAATAGATTTCATATCATAAATATTAGTATATTTTATATATTTGGTTAAACTTAAGATTGATCTATTATTCATAAAAAAACATAAAAATACATTCTTTTAGGGTAGAGAGATCATTTTGTTCCCAAACAGATAAAATGGAAATTCAGTTAAATGTCTGTGGCTTCCAGCCATGGTGCCACCGGCATGTCGCTATGGTATAACTTGGCTGGCAAATATGCAATTCCAACATTTGCATCCTCCATGGGAGGAGGCAAGAGGAAAGGGCAACCCAAAAGATGATACAAATGGAGTTCCAATCAACATTTGTAGCTGTCGTAGCTTGGTTATGCTTCACGAGCACAACAAGCCATCCACCCATCCGCAAGCAAAAGCTGATCTTCCCGTGGAGGGGTGATCTTCTTTAGATTGCTATAAATAAATTAATGGAATCAGTTACCTCACTGCTCATATATGGCATATGGCATGTTCTCCAAGCTACTCCGTCCCCACCATTTCAAATTGCAAACTTGCAATCTTGCAGCAGCTGATGGATTAGCAGCAGGATATAGACTGGATTACCAGATCTATCCAAACACGCGCACGCCAAAGATCGCATTCGGCAAGCAACGGCGGCGCGGGGGTGATGGAGACGCGGCGGCCCCGGCGCGGCGGGAAGAAGCGCTTCCTTCTCCCGCTCGCGCTCCTATGCCTCGCCGTGCTGCTCCCAGGCGCGCTGCTCCCGCCGTCCGCCTCGGCGTCGTCCTCGTCGCCTGCCGCGGGAGGTGGCAGCAGGAAGCGGCGGTGGGTGGGGTTTGACTACTATGTACTGGCGCTGCAATGGCCGGGCACCATCTGCCGCGAGACCAGCAACTGCTGCGACACCAATGGCTGCTGCCGGTACCGTCTCGCTTGTCCTCTACTATTATCTTCGCATTGTCACCGCTGGAACTCGATTGAGAGAGCTCATTTGGTTTAATTTCTGTGCAGATCGAAGCCTCTCAAATGGTTCACGATCCGTAAGCCCAAGCAAATCACTTGCATTTTCCCCATTTGGATGCTGCACTGGATGCATTGTTTATGGCCTATGAGTTTGATTTTGTTATGCTGAACTGCTGAAGAAAAAACACAACAACTGGATACATGAATAGCACATAATTTTCCAAACTTTTAAAAGTTCATATTGGTAAGGAGTCAGCATTACAAAAGTACCTCTTATAATGAAATTTCACCTTAAAACAGGATTAAAGAAATTCACACAACAATTATTGATCTGTTGTTGACTTGGAAATGGTAGAAGTTATGGATTTCTGAGCAGGAACACTGGGCAGCCTCCAAATAGTTTACCGCCTGATTTGTTGTTTCAACAAGCTGATTTGGTTGCATCATACATAAACTGGTGTTGAACATCTTGACACTGAAATGAAATGTGTTGGTGTTCCATTGCAACTGTAAACCATGCCATGTTTATGTATTGCGCAGTAGCACTTTGGCCCCAAAGTAATAGGTAGGCTTTACTGTTAGCCATTTCATGATCTTTGTTCTGTCTGAACAGATGGTCTCTGGCCACAGTACAACTATGGGGGCTGGCCATCATGCTGCAGACCAACCAAATTCAACATAAATAAGGTGACAGCTTCGAAAACTTTCTTCAGAATGAGATGTCTGAACCACTGCAAGTATGTCATGTCAGTGTGATTAATTTTGCTATGTTGCAGATCTTAATGTTGATGCCAATACTTGAGAAGTACTGGCCGTCCTTGTACTGTGGTTCTTCTTCAACCTGCTTTGGTGGAAGGGGGCCATTTTGGGTGCATGAGGTGACTGGGGATTTTTAGATTTGATTACAGGGGACAACGCATATGCTAAGTGCTGACCCCAGGGTTTCTTTTGTTTTTTGTGCATGTGCTGATGGTTTACCGGATCTTCTTCAGTGGGGTATGCAGTTTCTGAACTTGTTGGCACAAATAATGTTCTGTTCTATTACTGCTTATTTGCATTAAGCAATCTGGTTATGTTTCGTTGTGTGGCACAGATCAGCTTGTAATGTTAATAATACTCCCTTTTCTTTCTTTTTGGCAGAAACTCATGGGACTTGTGCTTATCCTGAAATACAGGATGAATATGACTACTTCTCTACAGCACTGTATCTCTACAGCAAATACAATGTTACGGTTAGTCATCAGGACATCTCTCATCTCTCAGCAGTCAGCACGATATACTTGTTGCACAACTTATGAGACATTGTAACATTTTGTCGGTACATTACTCTAGCCCTTGCTCTTGTCTTACAGAAAGCTCTGAGAAAAGCACATATTCGGCTTGCAAGCGGCAGAAAATACACCGTTGGCCATATTGTTGCTGTCATTGAATATGCGTTTGGAGCAATGCCGTCACTTGTCTGTAAGAACGGCTCAGTTCAAGAACTCAGGCTCTGCTTCCACAAGGATTATCAGGTAGGTAGTTTCTACAAGTCATGTCAGTTTCTTGAATCTTTGAATCAGCCAAATCAGTTGGAGCAGGAAACTAAACTTATGCCACAGGTTCGTCTAAAAAACAAAACTCATGCTGCTATATATGATGAGTATAACAAGAGCTCAACTTTTATTAGGAGTGGAGTAGGCTCTAATTTCTGGAATAGCTAAGAAAGGACCATTACAAATAAGAGAAACCTAGACTAGACATAATTGTTGAGATAGAGACATGATTGCTCCGAGCCCTGTAACATGGTTGACTCGCATCACTTGGCAGCCTCGTGATTGCACGCTTGAGACTGGCACTGCACCGAACAGTAGAAGCTACTGCCCTCGCTACGTCACGTTCCCATCGTATAAACCCTCTGGTGAGTGGGCCCTTCTATCTTGTACTACTGTCGTTGTGTGGAATCAGTGCAGGATGCAGACGGGAAGAGAATTCCGGTCCAGATTTGTCATGGCTGCACTACTCTGATCGGACACTGTGATTGCGATTGCAGTGATGGCCAATGCCACGGAGGGGATCAGTAACCAAGCGTCCAAGCCAATGGCGAGCTACTCTGAGCAGCGTCCGCCGTCCAGGACTCCAGATTCTGAAATGAGTAATAGTCAATAGAGCGCGACGCCACGGCGTGCTTGCAGAATTACCGGCCCTGTATGGTCCTGTACAATTCTTTCATTCACAGTCTCAAATGATTGGCCACCGGGATTTGGGAATGCAATGTGAATGTGAATGAACACTACACATTTATCTGAAGTGTCCTCTGAGTGTCCCGGACGTTTTCTCCACGAGAGGTGGTGAGGCTGCTTGCGTTGTTCCTGTATGATTTGCGTGTCACTTTTGAAGTTTTGATCTTATCGTAGACTTATTAGATCGCTACACGCCTACACGCATCTTGCTTGCGGGTGGTTGGCTGGTTGCTTCGTCGCATCGCAACCGGTTATCGCCGGTGTTAATGGCCAAGGATATTCCGTATCAAACCCATGTGCGTGCGAGGGCGAGGCCAAGGATATTCCGCACTATCTTCTTCGATTCTATACCCTGCAATTCCATTCCATCAACATAATCGCGCTACGCAACCAAACGATTTTCTTCTGGTCTCAGCGGCTAATTAGGGGCAAGAAAACAAAAGCAGAGGTCGTCTCCGATACGGCGACGCAGGGCCCCACTTGCAGCGACACGGCCGTTTCCGTGCCCCCACTATTGATGATAGAGCCCCCCTCTAGCCTCGTCGCCCCGTACAGTTGTTGTACTGAGCTGAACTGCCGGAGGCAGAGGAGGAAGCGGAGAGGGAGGCGATGACGACGGCGAGGAAGGCAGCGTGCGTGCTGGCGGTGTGGGTGCTTGTCGCCTCGGGTCTCTCCGACCTGGGCTCCGCCCGCGCGCCCCTGGCCAGCAGCAAGCCGCAGCGGGAGTTCGACTACTTCGCGCTCTCCCTGCAGTGGCCCGGCACCATCTGCGCCTCCACCCGCCACTGCTGCGCCACCAACGGCTGCTGCCGGTACGTGCTCCGCGCCGCGCCGCGCCGCCGCCCCTGCCACGACCAGCGGCTCCCCTCCCCCATCTTATCCTCTCGTCCAAACGCCTAGAGCTCGCTGCTCGCCCCATAGATCAGTTTTCTGCTGTCCGATTTGTTTCGTTTGGGTTGATGCGACCTCATGCCATTCTTTTTTCTTTCTCCTGCCCCGCGTGCAGCTCGGAGCCGCTCCAGACGTTCACGATCCGTAAGTGCTCGCTCCTTTCTCGTTCGATTTCTTTTTTGTATAGATATAGATGTTCCGTCAGGTGAATTCGTGATCGGTTTGGTCTGAATTTCGCGACTGTTGCCGCTCGAGCAGACGGGCTATGGCCGGACTACGACGACGGGACCTGGCCGTCGTGCTGCCGCCGCACCCAATTCGACATGGACAAGGTGACTGCTTAGCCACAGCCTCACAGGGCGTTGTTTGTGCTTCCGTTTGGTCCTCTTGTCGCGTTTGATTCTATTGGAGGAGTTCTCAACAACCGTGCTGATTATATTGATGGTTTGGTGCCATCGTCTGGTGTAGATATTGCCATTGAAGGAGGTGCTTGACAAGTACTGGCCGTCCCTCTACTGCTCTAAATCTGGAACTTGCTTCAGCGGCAAGGGACTCTTCTGGGCTCACGAGGTGCAGTACCAACTAGCAACATACGAATTCAGAACTAGATTCGTCCATTATGCTATTGAGCTCCGAAAGGCGAAAGTATGCCTCAGTTTCAACCTCTTTTGCTGTTTCCTTTGCATGTTGTCTTACGGGATGACGTTTTCTGCTCAATTCGCCTGTTGCTTATCTTCAGTGGGGTAATGTTCTTTCCCTTACGAACTATGGCACACTTTTGCTTGCAAAGTAGAGTCTGGCATTATGCTCAGCTTTGATTGCGCTGATGTTTCTGAGAATTGCATGACTGCATAACCTTAACATCAAGTTTCATTTTTCAGAGAAGCATGGAACTTGCTCTGCCCCTGTGGTTCAGGATGAACTACAGTATTTCAGCATTACCCTTGACCTCTACTTCAAATATAACGTTACGGTTAGTATCTGGGTCTTTCACAGATTACCCAATACCCACACCATAGCATTGGTTTCTTAGCTAGCCTAAAGTACCTTCACGTTACCAGCATGGTTTTGGAAAGTAATGCCTACAACCAGAATACCAGCATGGAACTTTCTCCTTTCTCTATCGTAAATTTGGATTGCGTGGGTTGCAGGAAATGCTGTCAAGTGGAGGGATACAGGTTTCAAATGGTAAGGAATATGCACTCAGCGATGTCATCGATACCATCAAACATGCTTTTGGGGGATCACCACAAATTGTTTGCAAGAGTGGTTCAGTCCAAGAACTTAGGTTATGCTTCGACAAAGAATTGAAGGTAAGTTTGCCATTTTTTCCCCTTGATCAACTCCTACAATTTGTTGCTATAAAATATTACAGCCATGAGTAGAACCAATGACCATTGTGTAGACAGATTACCACCAAAGCATATCTGTTAATATTGTTCCTACAGGACCGAAATTTGATTTGCTAAAAAATTTGAATGTTTCTGAAGAATTTTGTGTCCTATGTATATATGCTGAACGATCACTCTGAGTCCTATGGAAACAAAACTTGATAACAATACCGAAGTCCAGTGCCCTGTTTGGTTACTGTTTTGTGGCGTTTGAACTTGCAAGCTGCTCTCTACTAGCTTCTGGTCAATATGTGTTGCATAAATTTCACTTTTGAATATTTCTCTGAACAGTTGTGTCCCCCAAACTGGATACTTATATTCTTTCCAAATTTCAAATGACGCATATTGCAAGGCAATGCTCATCTCAATTTATGTTTCCAGCCTCGTGATTGTCTTACTACTTCTTTGACGATTGGAAGTGTATCAAAAAGCAAGCACTGCCCACGGTACATCACCTTGCCAACATATGATCCCCTTGGTAAGTTGGCTCAATAAAAACATCTAATCTTGCATCACTTGCGGCTCAATCCGTGTTCGTGTATTCGCTGATCCTGCTTCCCTTGACATTATTTCAGTGCTTGCCAATTCAACTGTAGAGGTCATGTCACAGTTCGATGAATTTGAGGTGCCTGCGTCTCTTTATACAGCCTAAGATGCAATAATTGCAGCAGAGCATCCCATGGCTGCGATAAAGCGCCATGGCCACATCTCTTGGGCAATTATGATAGCAGAAGGTGCTCGCGTGAGCACCTATAGATCCAGGCACATTTATCCCTGGGATATTCAATCATTTGTATATGCACTTGAAAGAGAACCGGCGCCTTTTCAGCCTGGAAATTTATAAGCTTTATGTAACCTTGAAGGTCGGATATGGTCAATGCATACACAAAATCTGTAGCTGGAGGTAGAATTTGATGTGCAATATTCAAAATGGTGTTGGCTTCAGGGCTCCATGTCATATATATTGCACATGTAATGTAAGTCGCTAAATCAAAACTGTATCTGAGGTAGAATTTTCAAGTAATAATAATAGAGATATAAGAAACTTATCGCCCACCATGCCTGTCATGATACATGGATTAGCCGATTAGGAGAGAACCGCCGAACTCCCAGGAATGTATGCAATGCAAATTCCCAAACCAGAATACGGTTCATAGCTGGACGTGTAACAGAATACAGTTCATAACTGGAACTCTGGAAGCGTGTAGCAGTTCATGTAAGGTTGTCAAATTCATAGCAACAATCTGGTAAATATCTATGCACAACAGGTGCAGTTGAAAGCTATGGGCAAAAAAAAGTCACTTCCACTTAACAGCACAGTTAGAGACTCGTTTTTGTTTTGTGTAGTCAACATCTCTTTGATAAAATGGCTGAAGGAGTTTTGGAGGCGAACTAGTGATATGGAAGTGGAAGGTGTATGGTGAAGATGCTCGCCTTCTTTGGCACGTTGCTGTTTCAGGATGATGCTCAGGTGGAGAAGGTGTAGGAGTTGGCGTTTCTTCTGGGCGGTTGTCTTGTGCAGCTCTTTCTTTCTATCTAGGTTGCTTCCTTTATTCTAGATGTTGGTTTCCTTTATTTTAGATGTTGGTTTGCTTCGCTACTGTTGGTTCGTAGTTTTCTCCTGTAGTCGGTACTTGTGGAAGCTGGCAACCCCAGCAGTATCTTGTAAACGGTTTATGCTTTATAAAAAAGCAGGGTTTTCCTCCGTCAAAAAAAAACATCTCTTTGATAAAACATTCTCACCAACCCACATGGTGTCAACCTACAGCAAACCGACGCAAAGAGAGTTTATCCTGGGTCTCATGTAGCGTTCAGCAATCCCAGAATGAATCTGCAAGGACATTGGCAAGTATGTCAGAAGTAAATAGAACAAATGCATTGTTTAGAGTTGTAGAATGAAGATGAAGGCACAAGCACCAGTCTCACAAACCCACAGACTGCATTACGCATAACAATACAGCTTCAAAGCTCTGCACAGGAAGATAACACTTACCATCAGAATCCATCACCAAAACATCGCAGATTTGATGCGGAAATATGCCTGCATGAGCTCCATTCTGATACATTTTGTTGCTGTCTTGTTGATGAAAGGTGATCTGGTAACAATAACAAGAGAAAATTAGTTCCTTCGCCCTAAAAAAACTTGTGCTTAGTTTCTCGGCCTTTTTCGATTGAACTTGCTTATTTGGTCCTAAAACGAATTTTGTTTAGGTTCTTGGCCCTTCCGTTAGTCTGACAAGATAACGGTGTTAAAAGCAACGCGAATTGACTCTTTTACTCCTGGCGCTGAATGCAACCCTACAACAGCCTACTGTAGAGTCAGACGGGTCTTTTAGACCGACTACTATCAATAATTTTTCAAAATAAGATACAATACTTTTTCAAGCATGAAATTATTATTTTATATATTTTTTCAAGCATGAACTTATTTATATTTTTTTTGAGAAATTACTTTATAATATATATATATATAATAATATTTTCATGCTTGAAAAAATATTGTATCTTATCTTGGGAGATTATTGATATATAGTAGGCAGCCTGAAAAGCATGTATAACTCTACTATAGGGTGCTTTAGTGTTGCATTCGGCGCCAAGGGTAAAACAACCATTTCACGTTGATTTTAACACCGCTACCTTGTCAAAATAACAGAAGGGCCAAGAAATAAAATGAAATTCGTTTTAGACCAAATAAGCTAGTTCAATAAAAAAGGGCCAAGAAACTAAGGACTCTTTCTAGGGCCAATGAACTAATTTTCTCCGATAGGGTGAATAGTAACAGTGTCAAGTACCTGTACAAAGGTGATCTGGTATGCCTGCCCACCAACGGCCCAAATCCCGGTCGGTCCCAGATTCCCAAATGCTATCCCGTCTCCTTCCGCGCCGCCATCACCGCCGCCTCCTCCAAACCCTGCTCCGGGCCGCCCCCGCCGCCCCCGATGTTGACCTCCACCAGAGGCTGTGCTCTTCGTCTGCAGCCTCGAGCCCGAGCCTGTCGATATGGCGGCGGAAGAAGGAGATGGGCAAGGAGGGCCTCATGGCGGTGGCGCAGCTCAAGCGGCTCGCGGCGCTGCCCCCGGCGGGGGGCCACCCGCGCCTGGAGCAGTTCATGCGCTCGCACGTGTCGCGGCTCCTCCGCACCGACCTCCTCGCCGTCCTCGCCGAGCTCCTCCGCCAGGACCATGTCATCCTCTCAATGAAGGTTTTACCCTCGTGTCCCAGACTCCCCGTAAAACCTGCGTGCTCTACTGTTCATCTCATGACTACATTCTCGTTACTGATTATTGTAGTGCAGAAGAATCGATTTACTTGAAAGGAACGGTGTGCAAGGTGGTTTGCTGCGTGGTTTTGAACCTTGATTTGCAAAATGGGGATCCCAATCGGTCGAATCTGAAAAACCAGTAGTGCAGTCGATTGTTAAGCTGCATTCGTATTGGAGTAGCAAATGGTAGTCTGAACTTCTGATGCGCTGTTTTCAAAAATCAGTTTTGACATATCAAGAAGCGGAAAATAGGATTAATAAAACAGAGCAAGTTGGATTAGGAGGGTTTTTCCTGTTGTAAGTCTCCATCCACTGCCCTGGTCTTTGGCTGTGCATTTTTCATCTCTTTTAGAGTTTTAGTCATTTGGGAGAACTCATGCGCATGTCTAGAAAAACTAAATAAGTCGTTGATATCATTCTTGTGTTGAACTGGCACAGAATTTAAGAATGACTTGCCTTACTAGAATCATAGACCGGGGATTTTAATGCTGTATCTATGTGCCTTTTACTTTTTGGAGGACTAAATAGTGACTAACAGTTAATTTGTAATGCATTATCGCCGCTTGAGCTACCTGAGTTCAGAAGTTGGAACCTAGTTGACACTGTTTGGACTTCTTTATTTCCTCTGCTCTTCTTAAGCATACTGAAGTGTGTTGTCATGTGTGAGTACTAAATAGCTTTGTTCTACTCAAATTGTGTTGTCCTCTGTGCTAGCTTAAAGCAGGATTGATCTTTAGATCTTTGGTGCCCAAATAAGCAGTTCAAATATTTTTCTTAATAGCTTGCTTAACACACTTCTGATTATACTGAAAAATTCCTATAGCATAAATAGTTTGACCGGTTACAAACTGTGAACCTGCTGGGGTTTAATTTTAAGCAATTGCATAGTCCAATAACTCAGAATTTATTCACGTTCTTTGGCACCTCAAGTACATTACAACAAGAGCATAGGCTACATAAGAGTAGAACATAACTAGTTAGTAGCTAGTTTGGGTGCATAGGAGCCTATGTACCCAACCCTGCCCCTCGAGGAAAACATAGCTAGAGATGAAACCCAACAAAAGGTGTAGGCTAGCGATAAGATCCAAGTGAGCCGTTGGCTATGCAACAAAAAGGCCTTTAGTCCCAAGTAAGGCCCTGTTTTGATTCATTATCTGATAATAGTTAGCTGGCTAATAACTCATTACCTGATTTGGTCTAGCTAGTGGGATAGTTTTTATCTAAAGGTCCAACTAAAAATTAGCTAGTCTATTATCTATGCCCGTTTGGTTCCAAAAGAGATAATTATTAGCAGATAACTTCTATCTATAGGGATCCAAACAGGGCTTAAGTTGGTGTACATAGGCGTAGTCTAGAGATGAAACCCAACAAGAGAATGATGAAGCAAAGTTAAATAAATATAACAACAGTAATGTAGCACCAGTGGTAATAACAGTAGTGAAGGATGTTTGATTATCATGGTTCTGGCATGTGGATTGTTAATTTCTATCCACTCCTGTTTAGTGAAAATTCCTTTCCTGCTTCCAGTCTTGCCTCTTTTTACTACATCCATGCAAAAGTTGCCTGATTTCTACCTCTCCTTGAATGTCATTGGTCCCTCAAGTATAGGTGGATTATGATGGAATGTTAGGGTCCTCTAGAATTTGTTCCTTAGCCTTGGATGTCTTACATAATTTTACTGTGGAGTATGCTACTGTGTAGGAGTTACTTTCTTTACTTAACAGATAATATGTCCTGGAGATTGATGTTGAAACACATTTGTCACTGCTGCTTCAATCTGTGGCCAATGAGAGTAATCTATGGTGTATGGCAGCAGCCTCGGCCTTACACGAGTGCCTTGCTAGGTCGCTGGTCCTGGATCCCGAGGTCCTTGGTTGTTTGAGGCTGCTGGTCGTGTTTCCCTAGTTTATTTTCTAGAGTGTTGTATTGACTAAACCCCGGGGGGGTGGGGGGGGGCTGGGTCTGGGTGGGGTTTCTTGCTTCCCTCCCTTTTGTATCTTTTTATTCTTCTTAATGAAATGACACACAGCTCTCCTGTGTAGTTCAAGAAAAAAAACACATTTAGTTCCTTATTATGTTCCCTTTTGGGGTGGGGGTATATTAGGCCGTTTTAATTGGAGAATTTAAGGATTTGCCAGATACTTGAGTGCCCGTTGAGGATTTGCCAAACCATTACGCTGAAAATGAGCTTTGCCTCTCTTTCGTGGTGCATTCTATGATTTTTCATTTTGCCGTTTACTACATTTCTGTTTTTTCACCTGTTTGTTATCTTTTAGGTTTAAGCCCCACTTGAAATACACATGCTGCTTAAATAAATTATACTCATGGCCCAATGATCGTGAGAGTTGACAGGCTTGTTAATTGTCTTGTTCAAATATAATAAGCCATGTTTTTAGACAAGGTTTATGACCTAAATGCTTGTGAGGCCAATTTACTAGAGATGAGGCTAGGCACATTTATATGGGGCAACTCAGGAAATTTCAATATGAGTTGATGGCCTGATTGAATTCTTAGTTCTCAGATAAGTAGCACATAATCATGTAAAGAAATCTCTTAGTTATCTTTCACCTGTTATGGCAGTCTTTTACTGGGGGCCAAAATAACTGAAAAAGACATGTAATGGGGTTCAAGGGCCAAAATGACTACTTGTATAGTGCACCAGGAAAATAAGTGGAAATCCTCTATTTCAATGGAATGACTAATGAGTGCTAATCCTTAATTTATTTTCCCCCTTTCTAGCCAGGAGTGTATCCAGCTTGGAGACGCTCCTATGTTATCACCATTTTAGAGTTAGGTGTTTCCAAAGTTTGATGTTCCTGGAGCATAGCATTCAGTGTGCAACAAACAGTTATTTTTTAAGTTTGGCATGGTAATCTTGATGATTAAGTGTCAATTTTCTGTTACAGATATATGGTGTTGTGCGGAAAGAAATCTGGTACCACCCTGACATGTACTTCTATCGAGACATGCTATACATGCTAGCGAGGAACAAGAAAATTAATGAGACAAGGCAGGTCTGGGCGGATCTCAAGTCTGAAGATGTGCTATTTGATCAGCACACTTATGGCGACATTGTGAGAGCCTTCTGTGATGCTGGTTTGATTGATCTTGCAATGGAAATCTACGAGGACATGAGGAGCTCTCCCGACCCTCCTCTATCGTTGCCGTTCCGTGTTATCCTGAAAGGGTTGGTTCCATACCCTGAACTGAGGGAGAAGATAAAGCAGGATTTTCTTGAGCTTTTCCCAGATATGATTGTATATGATCCACCAGATACCTTATCTGATATAGATGAAGAATTCAAGTTTTGATGAATATACACCTTCATCAGGATTCAGTGCTTATGAGTTACATTCCCTGCACTGTAGCCAAACCTCCATTTCTCGTTCTTTTGGTGGACTAGATCAGTTGTAAATGTAGCTGTCTCGATCTGCCCAGTAGCTGGGGGTACCACCAATTTCCCCCTCTTGATGAATCATTTTTTGGTAATCTATGGTTTGGAGAATTATATGCCTCCATTTGTGTCTCGTCCTGCTCTGAATCACCCTGTTCTGAAGTTTGGTACTACTGCCCTTCACTGAAATTTGTGTTCCATTGATCCCTGCTATATACAGTCATTTGTACACTTCAAAGAGAATCGTACCTTTTCAGCCTGGAAATTTATAGATCTTATGTAACTCACATAAAACTGATCCAGGGAAATTGATCCCTCGATATTAAATCATTTCTACACTTGAACGAGAATTTTCCCTCATGAATTATATCTTTTCAGTCTTTTATAGTTTTTATGTAACCTTGAAGGTTGGATATATGGTCAATGTATAATTGTATATACAAAATATCTAGCTGTCCGGTGCCACTGTTCTAAATGTTTCTTCAGGCTTTGATGTACAATATTTTAAATGGTGTTGACTTCAACGCTCAATGTCATAAATCGCACTTGTAATTTGCTAAATCAAAAATTGCATCTTGACTTCTTGAGGTAGGATTTTTCAAGTACACAAAAGGGATGTAAGAAATTTTGAACCATATGCTACCTGTTGCTGGCAGCATGTCACGGATTGTTTACACCCGCCATGTTTATCCTGATACATGAATTAGGAGAATTCCCAAACTCCCAGGAACTGCGGGCAGTGCAGATTCCCAGCTCATACTGAGGAACCAGAGTACAATGCATAGCTGGAAGTGTCTAAGAATTCCTTTAAAGTTGCCAAATTCACAGCAACAATCTGGTACATATCCATGTACAACAGGTGTAGCCGTTAAAATGTCGCTAGCACTGGACAACACAATTACAGACTCATTTTTGCTTAGCGTAGTCAACACCTGTGATCTCAGCAACTAACTCCAAAGTCCAAATGGGTTTCAAGGAAATGCCTGGATCAACGTCTATGCAGCCAAAATTCTTCAATAGGTGTCAACCTTCAGCAAGCCCAACTAAAGAGAGTTGTCCTGCATATCATGCAGCGTTCAGCAATCCCAGAATGAATCTGCAAGGACATTCATAAATGTAAAAAAAAGGGCGTACCCAGTGCAGAGAGCTCCCGCTCTGTGCGGGGTCTTGGGAAGCGTGTCACTGGCAAGCCTTACCCTCGCCTGTGCAATGCGAGGAGACCGCGACTCGAACCCGGGACCTTCCGGTCACAGGCGGTAAGACTCTACCGCTTGCACCAGGCCCGCCCTTCAAGGACATTCATAAATGTGGCAGAAGTAAATCAAACAAATCAATTGTTTAAAGTTGTAGCATAACAGTAAAAAAAATACCAAAAAGTACAAATGACAGTCTCATAAACCTAATTTTATGGTGCACATGACAATAGCACTTCAGAGCTCTGCATAGGAAATGAATTCATGGTACATAACATCCAAGCACAAAAAGTTAACGCTTACCATCAGAACCCATCACCAAAATATTGTAGATTTGATGCAGAAATATGCCTGCCTGAGCTCCATGCTCATAGACTTTGTCGCTGAAAAGGTACCAGGATTGACATACTACACATACTGTGAGGAGAATCATCTAAAACAAGCCCACTTTACCCAAACTGTGAAATAATAAGTAGAAAGGTGATCTGGTATGTCTGCCTGCATGGGAACCATAACGAATAAAAGTTAAGAAGAGTGATTCAATAACTTTGGCGACAACTAGTATTAAGCAAGAAAGAAGGTACATACAATGTCCCAAGAAGCAGAGAAGCCATCAGTTGAAAGGCGCCAGCTTCTACGTTGTGACTCAACACCGTTCTTTACATCAGATGATCCAAGTTCAAGCAGTTCATCAAGCTTGTCCTCATCAGACTCGTACCTATGCCGCTTTCTCCTCCTATTCCCCTTTCTCCTTTTATGGCTGCTTCCAGTGAGATCCTCATCATCAGTATCAGGCATATGTGAAATTGAGAACTCATCATTCTGAACCAATGAGTAATCATCAGCCTTGCGAAATTCTATTTTGTTATGAGAGAACAAAGATTCACAAGAATCTCCTGATTTGCATTCTTTCGACAAATCACAGAAAATTACCCAGGACTGAATGCCTATCCACTTAAGTGCATCAGGTAATTCTGTCCCCACAAGTTCCTTCATGATTGCAAAATGATCAGCATCAGTCAAATGATTTACGCCCTTTAAAAGTTCTTCCATTTGCCCCCATTCTTCATGTTGTTCTTCATCTTTCATGAGCCGCCAAAGTTGTCTACCCTTGGCAATGACACAGTTCAATAAGATAAGATCATCAAGAGATATGTAATCACAATGTCCTGATAAAAGAACCTCAAGCCAACAACATGGAAATGCCAATTCCTTGCACTGCTTAGTAGGATTGATGAGCTTGCCTAAAGATTTTAAGAAATCAAGAAGCCTTTGCTCATCCAGATGGATAAGAAGATGCTGGCAAAGAGAGGAGAACTGCTCGTCCATCAAAAAATCTTCAACCACATGCCATGCATCTTTGGAATTCTCCTCATACATCAAGTATAAAAATTGATCTACAAAATATTCTGCATCGATTTGCAATATTTCACCATCTTTAATAGAATTAGCAAGCTCATCAGAAGACCAGAAATCTGGGACATACTCCAAGAAATTCTCCACTGTCTGGAGAACATCAAGATCACGAAAATAGTGAGGCTTGGTAGCAACTACAGCCGGAGATTGCCCATGCTTGCCTTTCCACTCAAGTTCTTCCCAGCACATGTCACGATTTACAAATGCAAACTGAGAAAGTGCCTTAGCGCCCTTTTTATGTGTGGATTCCCCAGTAACAGCAAAGTGGCCAAACCACTGCATTATCCTCTTTGGGTTTCCTGCGGATAGTAATAGGGGCATGTAAATTGTAAGCAATGAAAGCCGTTCCAAATAGCATCTCAACCAATTCCTGCTGCATGGCAACAGTTCAACAGGGAATATAAAATATCACACCTAATTAGTTAACTTAACTGAGGGACTACTAAAGCAGTCGGGACAAAGAGGCACAGAAGAGTGTTCAGGACAAAAGGGCCCTATTGATTTTGCTTGGGACTTAAGTAAGCAGGCATAACATAGGCATATGTAAATAATGGCAAGAAGTTTCATGACAAGCTCCAGCACTACATGCCTACACCACATTCAGAGAAGTAGGTCGTACCTAGAGACAATTAAAAATAGGCTGAGAGACGAATATGATGTAGTTGACACTGAAACACCATTTCAGTTTCCTTCTTGTATACAGCAGTGTGTTACTAATTTCCATAATACTATGTTAGCAAATTAACATGACAGAGACACTGAAATAGGGTAAACGGTATGCCATTTACAACATAATAGTCCTTACAGCCAGCACAAGTTCAAATTGAGACTATTAAGGTCTGGGATCACCGGACTAAAGTTTTGTTGAATAATAGGCTAAACGTGGACTAATTAAAATTCTCTTTTTTCTAATGAGTTCTACTCATCAATTAGTCTCTATTAATTTTTGTTAGACCATAATTAGTTCATGTTTAGACCTTCTATTTGGCATCCAAAACATGGACTAAAGTTTAGTTTAGTCTATCCAAACACCCCCTTGAGTTAGGGACCTATTTTATACAGATTTTTGGCAAACATGTTTCAAATAAGCAATTTATTTGAGCGTATAAATAAAGCAAAACAAGATGTATTTGAGTAACAGATAAAAATACAATAGTTTTGAGCTCTTAGGAAAATTACCTCGGAAGAACTCCTCCAGTATATGGCCTTTTCTTGCTAGAATAGACCCAACCATTTTGGGTTTCTTATCGAAAATCATCCGCAGCAGGCGAGCAGCGACATCACGCCTGGAATTCTTCATCTCTAAGAGATCAAGAAACAGGTCCCTCTGGCCACGGTGACTGAGCGAATGGACCAATGAGACAGTGGCGCAGAGCCACAACCGAGCTTCATACCTGCCTGCTGATTTTGTAACTGACTTGATTATGGACTCAACATTGCGACAAAGAGATCTCCTCTCTTCGACGGCAACTGTATTAACACTACCGCATTCTGTCGGCACTTGCAAAAAGAGCTGAACCATCTTCAAAGTGAAATTTCTCACCAGAAATCTGGAGCAAAAACAAGCGAAGTTATTACACATGCTACGCAACCAGGGGGAACTCGAAAAACAGGGGCGCGCCCAGTAAAGGGCATGGAACTATTGGAAAACAAATATCCTAAGTTACTAGGCATGTATACACTTGTAATTAGATCAGGTCCGAATACAGATAGCCAGATAAATTCTAAAACAGATAGCCAGATAGATAGCTTAAGTTAGGGTTCGGGTGCTCGGTTTCGCGAGGCAGGAAGTGAAAGAGAAGGGGTGCGCATACCTGGTGGATGCTCGTCGCCGGCGAAGACCTGGCGAAGGGACCGGCGAAGACCCGAGCACCTGGCTTAGGGCGGCGGCGGCAGTCGCCCAGTTGGAGAGAGAGCGCACGCAGGCGTGAACAGGAGAAGAAAAGCAGTCCGGGTGGCGGTCTATGATGCGCGGATACCAGGGGTCCGTATCGCGTATCCGACGCGTATAGGATACGGATACGCCCTGAATACGTATCTAGGCCGTGCTACAAATTCTGGATACGTCCTCCTGACCTGGATACTGGGCCGATTTGGATAAGGCCCATGAAAGGATACTGTTTAGTTGCTGGACGTCGCCGACTAGGCAGCCATCGCAGCCAGGCTACGAGCTGTGCGTCCTCTCGAGTCTTCTTCCCCAAGCTACAGTAGCCTCAGACGACTTTGAGGGCGACCTGGCTTTCTCTCAGTCGGTCCGCCGGCCCCCTCCCCTCCGGCGTTCCTTTGAAAGTCGGAGTGGCGAGGGGAGCCCGGCACCTCGGCGGGAGGGCCCTATATAGCTGTAGATGTAGGTCTACTAGCTTGTATTTACCTCCTATAGGCTCCGTCATATAGACTGTAGATGTAGGTGAAATATTGTGAGCTTGTGCGGCTGAAAAAAGAAGCCGAACAAGCCATTTCAAACCAGCCGAACGAGGCTATAGCTTCTAGCGCCCTATTTGCTTGGCTTATAAGTCGTACTTTTTCAGTCAACGAACAATATTTTTCTCTCGCAACAAATCAACCAACAGAACTTTTAGCTATGGCTTATCAGCCAAGCGAATATGACATAGGTCGTCAGCTAGGTTTTATCTTCTCCTGCGCTTCTCCGGCGGCGACGACAGTGTTGGCGCCACCTTCAGCGTTGGTCGTAGGAGTTTCTTGTTCCTCCTTGGCCTCTCTGTGGAAGATTCTGTCGACGTCGTCTTCTTCGGCGAGCCACAAGCGAGGTCCGGCTTGTTCATAAATGGGTTGGATTTCTTCTCGGTGTGGACTCCGTCGGGAATATTTTGCTTCCTTCGTGCTTTCTCTGGTGTCTATGTTCATGGTAATTGGTGTTTGGCGGTGGCTGTTGAGCGGCTTGATCACGATGGTGTTTTATGTGGTTGACTCAGCACCGACGATGTTCTCTTTGATGCTTTCTTCAGCGTCGGTGTCGGTACAGAAAGTGACCAACTAGTGAATATTTGTAGTTTTATTGTACATTGTGATCGGAGGTGGCCTAGCACTCGATGACACAGGATTTATACTGGTTCAGGCGACGTGCCCTACGTCTAGTGTGGGTCGGTCGGTGACTTTATTCCTGAGCCCAGGTGCTCGAAGTCTGTAGTGGGGTTACAAACGAGAAAAAGAAAGGAGGAGTGTACGAAAGGCTCGATCGGGTCCGACCGGAAGGGCCGAGGGCGACCAGAACTTCGCTATGAGCTAGGTGTTTAAGCGTGTGCTTGAGGGGTTTGTGAGCTATCGATTTAGTGAGTCTGAACTTGAAGAAGTGGACCTCTTTTGCTGGAGGGAACGCATATCCTTTTTATAGATAAAGGGGATGGCTTTACAAGTGAGAGGGAGAGAGTACGGATGTTTCTAAGCCTTGTTGCCCACGCTGATGAGGACAGCCGATGATAGGCGTCCACAAAACTGTTGACGGTACTGTGGAATGTCAGGTGCACATGGGAGGTTGCGTTGGCTTCTTCAGGAAGGGAGGACGTCGGTACCTGCGAAATACTATTGGTATGTGAGGAGCCCTACCATGGGTACTAGGTATGGCGAATCCTGGCGCCCACTGTGGATGCCCAGAGATATGTGGGGGGCTTTTTGTCATATGGGAGCCTAATGGCGCCTATAATACTACAGACACAAATATTGGTGCCTACAATACTGTTTGTGTCAAGACGGTTGAGGAGCACTGTTCCCGCAGGCGTGCAGGGTATGGTCCCGGTATCGTGGTTTTGACTTTGTGCGCTGCCTTCTCCGTTCGCCCCTGGTCCCTTCCGAGCGGACACCCCCGGTCGAATGGCCCCAGTCGGTCCTAGCCGCGTTAGTCGGAGAAGAGCGGTAAGTAGGCTTCCTATGGGTCCCCGGTCGAAGTCGCGGGGTCGGAGTAGGAAGCAGCGTTTTGGGCCGGGCCTTCTGATCAGAGAGACTACCCGGAGGCGGTTGGTGCCCGGGGCGAGCGCTCCGGTCAGAGGTGGGCCGAAGAAGTTGATGAGCGGGCGTTCGTTCTTTCGGGCAGACCTTCCAATCGGCGACCGAACTGTCCTTCTGGACCATCATCTTTTTAGACCTTTGGACCGGTCCATGAACTACATGCTGTTCTCTTGGGCCGACCCGGGCGTCGAAGCTGTCCCCGAGGGACCCCGGGTTTATGAACTCGATAGGAGCCCCCGAGCCCCCGGGCGATTCGAGTGGAATCGTCCGGGGGATTTTTTTGTCTTGCCGGCGGGTGCGCGCGAGCGCACCGCGGGTGTAGCCCCCGAGCCCCCGGACGGTTTGGGCAGAACTGTCTGGGGGGTTTTATGTGTTTGTCAGTGTGAGAGGTTTTTTGCGTTGTGTTGGCGGGTGCGCGCAAGCGCACCCGCGGGTGTAGCCCCCGAGCCCTCGGGTGGTTCGGGCAGAACCGTCTAGGGGTATTGCTTCGGTGGGCGTGCGTGTTTTTAGTTTGAGACAGAATTTTGTTTAACCACGGCGTCGCTGTGTAGCCGAGGGGATTTTTAGGCGTGGGGATGAGATGGAACTTACTGATCCTGGCGTCGGTGCGCGCCGTGGATTGGGTGAGAAGGTTAGTTCGGGACAAACCCTGGCGTCAGTGCATGCCACGGATGGAGATAGCCTGGTTCGGATGCGACAGAGCTCACTGATCTTTTGCGTCGATGCGCGCTGTGGGATCGGGCGAGGCAGAGCCACGAATGGACCCAGGCGTCGGTGGGCGCCGTGGATCGAGAGAGTTAGTTTAGTTAGTTTAGGAATCGTACGAGCCAGAGCTCGTGGATCCTGGGAGCGCAATCGAAAGTGAAGCCGTTACGCGAGTTTAGGAGTCACGGTCCCAGGTTTTTTTTGGAGCGCAGTGAAGCCATCTGAAGCCGTTACGCGAGTTTAGGAGTCGCGGTCCCAGGAGTCGTAGCCGGATGTCATAGATCCTGTTGACGCGAGTTTGGGGTCACGATCCCAAGAGCCATAGTCGGATGTCATAGATCCTGTCGACACGAGTTCGGAGTCGCGGTCCTAAGGTTTTTTGGAGCGTAGTCGGAAGTGAAGCCGTTTTGAAGCCGAAACGTAGTTAGTTTGGTTAAAGATCGGACGAGGCGATGCTCGCGGATCCTGGCGTCGGTGCGCGCCGCGGGACCGGGCGAGTCAGAGTCGTGGATCTGGCGAGTTCGAGGTCACTGTCCTTGGCATTTTTCTTGAGCCCCCGAGCCCTATCGGGCCTTCATGGGGGTCGATGTGAGTATTGTGCGTTACCCCATCCTCGGATCCTCACAACCGAGGGGCTGAGTTTCGTCGCCTGTCCCGATCGCTCGGTCTCGAAGACTAGCTTGGTGAGTTTGCTAACAGGTGTGATCAAGTGGAATCCGGGTCCATCATTCGTGACAGGGTCGGCATAGCCCTCTTGTGACATTCCACTACTCCTTTACCTGCAACCCGACAGATGCCTAGGTCGTTCCGGAGACCGACCCGGGTGGCCTAACGGCCTCCCCTTTGATGGAGATTCTATGGGCCTGGCGAGAGGTTCAGGATCGACGAGAAGGTTGAGATGATCCGATCTGCCGGACCGAGCTAGGGCCGCACGGTGCTCATCTACGGTTTTCTCCCCTGGCTCTGGTGGTTGCCCATGTCGAATGAGGCAACCGCCGCTTCATGATGCAACACGGAGCGTTCTGGTGCATTTTGCTGCACGTGCGATGCTTAGTTCCCGAGCCCTCGGGCGGTTCATGCCCTAATCGTCCGAGGGGTTCAGGCGTATGAGATGAATGCGTATGGATGTATGAATGATTTATAAAGAAATAGAGGGGGTTTTGGTAACGTTTACCTTGACAACTGGAGTGACGGGGCTTGGAGAGCTTCAGTCAGAAACGTCCGACCGGGACCCGTCGCTCGTCGTTCATGACAGAGTCGGCATGGCCCACATGGGGCATCCCTTCGCTTCCTGCCTATGTCTCCGTGTTTATACTGAGTGATTCGATCGGCTTGGGGATCGGTTGGTCTCCCGACGGAGATTTCGTTTTTTGGTCTCCCCAGGCCTGGCCTAGGGAGGTGGGAAGCCACCCGCGTGCGGTGGTGCTTCGGTTCCTATGCCCATCGTGTGGTAGTGGTTGATCATGCGGTAGTGGTGGGCCACGGCCAAGCCACGTCCCGTCTAATCAGGAGCCATTCCATCGAGCAGGGCGCGTCTCATCGGTTCAGGGCACGTCTCATCTGCATTAAATGGGAAAGAGAGAAATTCTTGCTTCGCTGTTCTACCTCCCCCGATCAGGCGTCCTTCTTTAACCGTTGTTCCCTTTCCTTTTAGTAGGAGCAAGGAGAGGGTTTTTGTTTCATTCTTTTGCCTGTTCCTCATCTACCGCCACCTTCTTTCTTCCTTTTTGCCATGAGCGTTCCTGAGAGCCGTGGAGGTTTCTAGGGAAGAAGGGGGAGAGAGCGAGGGAGAAGAGAGGAACTCACCGATCCTTCACGATTCGGAGCGAAATGTCTGACTAGTGGTCATCCACC